TGTGTGTGTGTGTGTGTGTGTGTTGAGGTGGGAATTTTTCTTTTAGTATTAAAGGTGAGCATACCAATCCAAACAATAAATGCTAAACCAACCAAAAGTAAAAAACAAACAAACAAATAAAATATTTAAAACCAGGTGCAGCATATTACACTGCTGTGTAACAGGGTGTTAAATTATAACTGTACACTTTCACACAAAGTCTGGTTTACATTGTTTGAATTTTTATTATTATTTACTCCATCCTTTCAAGCATTTATCAAATATATTCATCTTAAACAGGTCAAATAAAGGTTAGTTTTTCCTGCAGTAAGTCAAACAAACCTGCTAACACATGCAGAGCAAACAAGAATCATTACAGACACGCAGGTTTGATAGAAATATATAAGCCGGTGTGATGGTACTTAAATATAAGATTTGAAAACTGGATATTCGAATGCCATTCTGTCCTATCGTCAAAAATATATGGAAAAGATTTGCTCTTTCCATCCCACAGCCTCTCCAGCAGTCAATTTCACTGAAAGTGAATCAGCAAGAGTCATAATCAAATAATCATTTAACCCTGTGAGGTCTTAGTCATCATTGATAAGCCCTGACCATATGCTGTGGATACAAATCAAAGGGAATTTTTCTTGAGAAAAAATGCAAATAATTTTTTAGACTTTTTTTATACTGGCAAACTGGTTCTCTAACGTGGCAGTGGTTTTCATCTTTGCCTAAAAAATGAAAGATTTCCGGTTTGATCCTGGAAGGAAATCTGCCAAATTAAACATGAAGAGCTACTCACTGTGTCGGCCCCTTGTGACTAAGAGAGCAGCTAAAAGTAGCTCTATTATTTAGACTAGCAGAATTATTTTTAAAGCCAAAAATTAAATATTCTGACAGCTTTAGATATTAAATATTATATAAATATATTTAGATATTAAAATATTAAATATTCTGACACCTTAAGAATAAGATTTAGAGGCACTATGGTAGGTACTGAGACATCTAAAGACCACAGCTGGGACTTATGTGTTTGGAAAAATGTAGCCCTAACATATAAAATGTCTTTTTATATGTTAGGGCTTAAAATGACTATTAATATGATCAAAAATATTATTCAGATCTGGGCACCTGTCCAGAGTGAACCCTACAATATCTGGGGTAAGCTCCAGCGTCCCTGGGAATAATAATATCCACATAAACAAAAAATTACATTGTCATAATGGTGAGATGATGCAAACGGTAATAATACTGTAATACAGAAGGTGGTGTCTTCCATACAAAATTTCGAATACTTAATTCCTGCAATCTTGCAGCTAAATAGATACTTTTAGAGCTTCTCTATTTGTATGCAGTGCTTCTGCAAGATACCTGCACGGCTCCTTTCATCTGCTGGTTTCACACAACACCCAACTATTCAAACACCCACCCACACACATGAAATGATTCTCCTTGTAATAATAATTGTCAGCTAATTTATAGTCTGATAACTGTCATCAGTTATGCTCGTCTTCACTGGGCTATGATATTCATGGAAATCTGGATCAAAAGAAACAAATCGTAAATAACAAAGAAAACACACATACATTTAAGTGGAGCATGAAATAATCACTCAGCGGTAGAGAACAACACCCAGTCTGCTTTTTAAAAGCCCATCTACTGAAGGCTATTGCTCATATATTCCTCCACAGTGCCCTTCACATCACTGAAGAATATAAATCACTGGAGTGCCTGTTTACACTGCTGGGCCTCCGTCGGGATGGCCCTTAGCAAACTAAGCCTTGAAATAAAATATAAAACACAGCATACCGTCATATGTAATGCAATCCGTCCTGTGCTCAGAGTTTAACCCTGTATCTATTGATCCCACAGAGCTGATGGAGACAGGGGTGGATGGGTGGAGGAGGGAGGAGGGGAGTACCTCCAACCCGCATCGCTCTGATAAACGGGCCCATACGCCCCTATTACAACTCAGACAAAAACCATCATTTTCACACTACAATTAGAACAGACAAAACAGTTATTTGCGTATTTACGCAAAGCTATCTAATCCGACAAATGCCACCGCGAACAGAGGAATTTATTGTCTTATCCTACGCAGTCTCAGGGGGGTAAGAGGAGGATTTTCTTACCCGATCGTCCCATGCAGGTTCGCTTGAAAGACATCTACATGCACGATAAAGCTGATAAAAAATGCACTTGACTCACATTCAGATAAAGATGGATGAAGGTCTCCATCTCGTCGGGCTCTCTCACATCCCCAGTCCGTGAGAATGTGAATCTCGAACAGCCTCAGCATCTGTCTTCTCGCGAGCATCCAGAAATCCCCCCACCTCCCCCGATCAAACCACACCCCTTACCCCTCGCCTTATCATCACATTCAGTTAATCTATAGTCCTTTTTAGCTTTGCCTCCTTAAAATAATGAGTCTCAAGTGTTCACCCCCCAATTATCATGATTTATGCATTTGGTGATTACTTTAACAGAAAATTAACTCATATAAAAAGGTCATATTTAATTGCGTTTAACTGTATTTTAAATACATATAGAAAAGGACAAAATTATTATCCTCTCCCAACACACACACACACACACACACACACAAAATTATTTCTATTTGTACATAATAACAAAATTATTTCAGAAACAAATACCATGACCAAAATTATTAGCCCGCTGAAAAACTGATCTTTTTACTGAGCTATATCATGAACCACTGCTGTGCAATGAAATGCTATTATTTTGTAGTGCTCAAAGCTCAAGCTGACGGTTATCCTCCAAGTTAAACACAGTATAAAAATGTCAACAAGGGTTTGAGCCGTCACTTGAGTAAAAATCATGCCAAAAACAGAAGATATCAGTTATGAGTCGAGAAAAAGAATTATTCATGCTGATAAAGCAGTAGATGGATATAAAACAGTATCACAGCGTATCCAAGTGTCAAGAACTGGAGTGAGAAGTATCATCAAGAAATTCAAAGGGAGCCACACAATACAGACCAAGTCTCGTAGACGTAGGAAGCAAAAGATTTCAAACACTCTGGAAAGAAAAACTGCGAGAAATTTTGAAGTCAGACTAAAGTATGCTAAGTATGCTGAGTGCTTTCCTCAGATGAGCTGAAACTAGAGTAGGGATGCTGCTTATGTTTGGAGAAAGAAGGGAGAGAAATACAACCCAAAGAACACCCTCCCTACAGTGAAACAAGGTATTGGGGGTACAACGTGGTGGGGATGCTTCAGTGCATTCGGAATTGGGAATCTCATGAAAGTGGAAGGAATCACAAAGAAATAAGGATATGTGAAGATTCTGAAAGAAAACCTCAAGCAGTCATCGCTTTGTTTTCCAAGGTGACAGTGACTTAAAACATTTGTTGCCTCTGTTGAAGAACTGCTTCCAGACGGCCAAAGTGAACATTACAGACTGGTCTGCACAAAGCCCTGACTTTGTAAATCTGTCGGGAAGACCGAGGTCCATGCCAGAAGACCATCAAATCTGGAGGAGCTTGAGAGCTGGGCTGAGATTGCTCAGACGTATGTGAGGCTTCGTGAAAACTAGAACAACTGACTACAGGCTGCAAATTGGACACACCATTGACTATTAGCATCATGGTGGTTAATAATTTTGATTTGTGTGATGAAAGTAAAATAACGTAAGCATGCAAAATAAAACCAGGATGTTTGGAAAAGCTGTGTCTCTTTAAACAACGTAACACCACACAAAAAGATGAAATGTACACAACCATGTTTGTTCATACACTATATATTATTTATTAAAAGCAATAAATTCTTGGCTAGTACGGACTTTAAACACTATAAAACATATGGAACAGTTTGTCAGTTTTCATCATCTGTCCTCTGCCATCAGCATTCACCTATTAGGCAATCAAAAAAACATTAACCCATCATCCCTCTCATGTGTTCCTCAGTTCAGGCAAACACTGAAGTTAAATCAGACCCTTTGTGATTCACTCCAAAGTAATCCTTCTATCAGTCAGATTCCTCTGACAGAGGACATCGTCTATTAAACAAAGTCCTGACTGAGTTACACTGCTGAAGTCTGAAACACTTTATTTAAATAAGAGAGGACCTGATTCTGCGTATTCAGAGTCACCAGACATGTGTATTTGATGCTGTTAACATATTTTCTACAAAGCAGCAAGCCCTCTCACTTGTTTCTCTTGTAGATTTTTTGGGCAAAATTGAGGAAAACAGAATGAGGAAGGTTTTGTGCGTGGCTGGCGATGAGTTTCTGTAGGCGCTGGTAGCTTTCCTCTTCATATCTTTGGTACAATGATGGTATCTGCAGGCTGTTGTACAGTGCTTTGACCTTTTCCACACTAGCTTCATCATGTTGTCCATAACATCCCTGAGGAGGAGATCGAAATGAACTTGTTAACACTAACAAATGACTCTAGTCATGAGTCTAAACAAGGTGGGAACAGATGAACGTCAAAGAATTAAAGGTGTAGACGTTTTAATACCGACTTAAACTGTACCAATGATTACATACGTCAGGGGAAATTTCTGGATGCCCAGAACATTGAATATCTGCTAGTAAGCAAAGTTAAGGGTAAGATTAGCAATTTTATGTCATATGACGCAAACAGAG